AAAAACAAACTGAGTGCAAGCAAATACCATAAATCCAAAATTCAGGTCTTTTTCAAAGAAAAATTAATTCCTTGATCTCCTAAACTAGACTATACTTTCCTTTTTAAACGGTTCCCAGAAAGTCAATGACATAGACACAGATCATAAAAAAAATAAATTCCGTTTATGGAATACGCTCTGTTATATATTTAAAACGAAAGGTTTTTCCCCTTTGTTGTCCTTTGCAATGAGCAACGGTTGTCAAAGATGTAATTACCAAATGGATCCTCAAAACAACGCAATAGTGTGTAGCATAATTGAGAAAATAAGTTTGAAAATGTAAAATTAACCAATAAATAAACAACAAAATCCAAAGAACCTATCAAAAAAATGCGCAACTGTTGAAGTTGAAAATCTGCTGAAGAACTTTTGGAAAAAACGCCTTTTTTTGTTGAAGTTTATTCCAATCATTACACTGTAATCCTCTAAAGTTAGAGTTAAAGTTAGAGAGCTATAAACGGCACCCTTCTCTCCTGGTACAACAAGGATACTGCTCAGTTCTATCGCTTACCGCTGTTATCCAACAGATGTTTTATATATTACAGCAAAAAATCAATGGTGTACAAACAGCGATAAATGGCAACGAATAAAATTATGCCTTAAAATGGTTTTATTATTAATACAAAAATCCATGTCTGCTATTTTTTTAATCAGTAACAGATTTAACTTCTGCAATGCATGATTTTGAAGACGATACTGCTCAACTACAGCAAAACTTAGTTGGAACTATAAAATTAAAAAAACCTTACCCAAAAGAACTCTCTACTCTATAAATATAATTTTATATAAAACCAAAAAATTATTTTAATTTAAAATGGTAAATCTCCAGAGAAAATTATTATGCACAGCATTTACCACGCTACACTGAAAACAATAGTGTTTTTAAAAAACACCCTTCGATGACCTCGTAATTGGATTTCCTTTGCTCTTCTACCACACTAAACCATCTGTAACAGATGCTTCAATCGGTCTTAGAAAAGAACTAGTTCCTATACCGGTTAAATGTTTGTTCATTTTTCGGCTTTGAAGCTGTAGTTTGTAGCACATTTTCACTCCACTTTTTCAGTTTTACATCAAAACAGGAAAAGTTTACTGTGCACTTGTTTCTCAATTTTTTTTTTTTAATTGCAAAGAATAAAGATTCTTTTTCACTATCTCTTACTGTCCTCTTGTCCACTGCGCCTTCTCTTAGACCAAAAAAAGATTCAGAATTATGAAAAAATGCCTTAAACTAAAGTAACAAGCATCAGATTAGCATAAGCAGAATAGTAAACTGCTAGCACTCGTAATTATCTGAGGCATTAACTTCTATAAGAATAACAAAGACGAAATAATGAAAAGCGAAATTCAGAGTACAGCAGTCAACCAGCTGAAAAGGTGATCTTTTACTACTGCCACACAGTTTCAGAGAAGAACAAATAATTTTTGTTACCAGTAGAAATAATCTCCACTTTTTTTATTTTCAAATTCTTTTCCTCTTCTTATAAACTTCTTATAAAATTGCTTTTTCAGATTTCTTTTTTTAACAGATTTTTTCGAACCATTATTTTTGCGTCTTCTTACTTCATTCATTGCTGGTGATTATATGAATTAAAATAAAAACGGCTTATCCGCTTCCAGAAGCTTTAGTAAGCTAATATATGACAAAAAATATGCGTATCTGGTTAAAGTACGGAAAGACCAAAACAGCTACCGAGAAACGTAACAGCAGAATCATTTATAAGAAACCGTAGCTTTGTTCAATTTTTAAAACTTATCTACGGTTGACCAAAGTGTCAACGCCTTCATTTTCCTGCATAGTTCCGTGGTCCCATATTTAAAAGTTAAAGTTCACAGTTTTTTTACAGGTGACACATACACACCCATCAAATTCTGGTTGGAAACTACAACCATCAACTATGGTGTCATGAGCAGTTTTTAAAATGCCATACTTTTATGTTAACGTACTCGTTACATCTGACAATTCTTTTGACTAAAACTCTTCAAGTAGCTGTGCTCTTTTACTACCAATAATTTAATGGCGAACACGTCCGCTCCTATTTGTCGTGGAAAGTTGATAAAACATTAATAATAAAAGAAAAAAGAAAAAAGCAGAAAAATTTACAAAAATTTAAATCGCAAAAAATTAAAGAATGAAAAGACAGTATAAAATTTCATTTCAAAACTGTAAAATTACAGTAACCAAAATAAAAATTTTTTTTTTTAAAAATCAAAATTTTATGATTGATAATTCAGTTAAGAAAAGTGTCATTTTTTTTTTTTTTTTTTGATTAACCACCGTTAAATCTGCCTGTAGAAGATGTGTAAGGTAAATATAACTAAAATTTACTGCAAACGACAATAAGTGACAGGAAAAAAAAACATCTGTTCAAATAGTTTAAAAATTTTAAACTATTAATTTTACCGTAAACGAATTAAGCGCAAGAAAAACGGTATCCATAACACAGACATATATTTATAAACTCGCCAAATATCTATTTCTCTCAAATCTTTGCTCCAATATGATAGACCGATTATTACTTGGCGCAAAAGCTGCTTCAGAAAAAAAGAAGCAAGAAGAATAAGTTTAGCATAACTATTATCATACTAAGAGTCAACCCATTAGTTACTGGCTTAGAGGTACGGCAGTGGAAAGTGAGGTGAAGAAGAGAGAGACATTTATTTAAGAGACAATTTTGTTAAACATATTGGATACACCTAAAAAAAACCAGCACTTAAAAGCTGAAAAAAAATTTCTTTTTTTTTTATCCATATGTGTGAGTGCAAAACTAAATCAGTTTCCATACTTTTTCAGATTCATCTGCAACAACGAAGTCATCTCGCACGCCTTCTTTTCGAGAGTTATAATAAACAAGCAGAAAAGATATTGATAACAAAAAGTTCTCAGATAACGACAAAAAAATTGTTGGCCAAAATCATTTACTAAACAGACTTCTACAAGGACTTTTTGTTTTTCTTTCATAAATATGCATATGTGCTGATTTTTCAATATGCAATTATATTTTAAAAAAGAAAAAAAAAGAAATAAAATAAATTGAAAGTTAAAGTCCGCTACTGCTACAGCTGTTGCTTCATCTTTTTTTTCAGTTTCTTCTCTTTCTCCCTTTTTCCTTTTCTTCAATAACAACACTAATAATTATTATTAATCATTTTCTCCATATTTCAACAAATTATAATACAGTAAAGTATTTAATATTTGTCCGAATAATGCAACCTAATAAAGCGTATCACACTACACAACAACTGTATTCATTTAATCAAACTTTTTTTTGGGCACTCTTTTCAAATGTTAATTTAAAAAACAGTTTTTAATCATCGACAAACAGTCATAAAGTTAGCAGCATTGCCAATTCATCAATCAGCACAGCAGCATAGAACCGGGTTATAGATGTAAAACAACAAAATAAAGCAGATATAAACTAGTAAAATTCATTCTTGCAAAAAAAAAAAAAACATACTGTTTGACAGCAAAGATAGTGATCAATTTTTAAACACTTAAACTAGTTATTTTAGCTGACTGTTTGCAACCAAGAAAAAAAAAAAAGAGACGAAAATTGCATCAGTTTTTAAAGATGCCATAACAAACAAATAAACAGAATACATTACTGATTTTAATTTAAACAGCTACCAAGAAATTTCACTGTTTGCCATCTAATTTTAAATCATCAAAGCCATATCCGTAGCAAAAAAAAA